ATGTAGGTCACAATAAAAGTTTGTATATAAATGTACCATAGGATATTTTGTGCTATAAATATGTACATCCATAAAAATTGTAACAACTATAATCATACCAATAATGCATTGACTCTCTTCAAGCTTTATTTGTAATGCTTCTATCTCTTTTAATCTGTTTTCTGAAGGCTCCTTCAATTTTACTAACTCTGTTTCAGTAGCTATTATGTAGTTAATTCTAGAATCAATAAAGGCAATCTCTTACCCATTATCCTTTGATCTTTGTCCCTTAAAGCAGCTTTCAAATCATTTACCTGTAGTAGCAAATCCTTCACCTCTGGATTCTTTACCTGTATAGTGTACAATAAAGATTAGGTTTATAGCTAACCTGAGTAACGTCCCATATGGTACAGTTGCCTAATATGAATTCCTTCAATCCTCTCTTTTGCAGTATCTCTATCTTATCAAGGACAGCCATTATCAGTGAGCCAGTGTATTCAGCAGGGCAGTAGCAGGTTACTACAACTGATTGACCAGTCCCAATTTTATCAATCTGAATGTGGTACTTGTTTAGTGGCTCTAGCTCAAAAAACATATCATTGATGTCCTGCAACATATGTTCCTCTGGATCCCAGTTGAACACAAATACAACAGTTTCACATAAAAGGCGAGATGGAGTAGCAACTGCTTGCAGCTCCTCACCAAGGGAAAGACTCACTGATACTGACTTGCAGAAAGCCTTAGCTTCATCCTTGTATGACTTTATGATTCGTTCAGCTTCATCTATGTTGAATTCAAAAGCTAAATTCTCAAGGGGACGTATATTAAAGATGTTGCACTTCCTCTTCAGTACGTATAGCACTTCTTCAATTGACTTCTTATGAGAAAGTTGAGAGCTCAAATCAGGGAACCAGATAATAATTAGCTCCTTTACTTCATCAATATTTAAAATACTTTTCATTCTTGTAAAAATACGCCGGACTTTAACAAATGTAGATCCAAACTTCATTCTCATATCTTCAAACTTATTCTTCATATCACGAGGAAAAAGGATTTTATGATCACCATGTTTATCATCATCAAGCGATGAACCTGTCAAAGTCATGATTAGGCATGATCATAATAACCATTTACTTTCTGAACTAGTAGACATAGATTTTTTGTTTTCAAAATAAATTTCATCATCTTCAATATTATCATAATAGTTGAAACACTTTCCTAAACCAAAAAGTAAACTTCAAAAAAATTATAACTCACTGTATTCTTAAAAAATAGTATCTCCAATATGAGCAGTCTCTGAGAACTTCCTCAATACAGTAACAAACAACTCCAGGTGTTTGTAATTGGAGTGAACAGCATCTCGTACAGCTTTGAGGAGAACTGCTCTTCTGTCAGAGACAGGACCTCTTGTAGACATGACACAAGACAGAGCCTCATCAGATATAACCTCTTCATGAAGCAACCTTGCCATACGAATTGGCTCAGTAATTGACTGAGAGAGAGCACTGTAATTATTCCTCAATATATCACTAGCACAATATTCACCATCTTCTACCTCCTGTGGTTGTACAGCTGTACTATCACTATCTTGAGAAAATGTTTCCTCTATCATAAGATTATTCATTGACATTCCAGTAATCAGTGTCTTACCATATTTGGTCATCATTTCATTGCTTATATCTCTTGTTTCTTCAACATCAGACAGCACTGTAGCAATATCTTTAAGTTTCCTATAGTTACTAGACACTGTTTTTTCCATGGCAGTCAATAGAGTGGTCTTCTTATCATCCAGTGATCTGCTCTGATCCATCCTCTCCATTTCATCCAGAGTAGCTTCACTTATACATCTCTTACAGTATAACAGTTGAGACACTTGTACAGGAGAGACAAGAGCTTTATTCAATGATTGAATATTCTTTTGAAGAATAGAAACTGCTTTACTAGAAGGTGGTGCACCTAAAAATGAATTTATCAGACAGGCCCACAGCATGCACAACAGCTTACAAATTGCTTCATACATTTCCTCCAAATTCCTTTCATATTCATCAGCGAGTGTATTCTCTCCAACTACTGTTACCCTCAACACTTCCAGTATTTGCCTCCTACTAGCAGTAGGAGTAGTGGTCAGCCATAGATTGAACATGTCTATCGTCTTGTGAGTGTCAGAGCCACCTTGTTCCCTGATACTTTGTAACCGTCTCTGTTCCAAGTTAAGCATTGTACCAACTATGTACCAGTTAGTACTAACATTAACATGCTCTGCTAGCTCCCTTATAGTTGGAGTGGCTGACAAGAAGACAGTAGAGAAAGAGTTTTCCATTGCCCCAGGCCAACCCTGCTAAAATTATCTATGCTTCCCTGCTAAAAATTTGACATGCCCTGACGCTCCTGCTAACCAAATTTTGATTTCCTTGTGCAATTTGACTCTTGATGTGCTTTAAACCATGCCCTTCTTTCATTTTGTTTTCTCTTAAGTTTCCTTGTTACTAAAGAATATACTTGCTGAAACCTATCAACAGGCAACTGAGGTAAGAACACACACACACACTGGATTAAAATTTTTGTAATCTGGATCCTACAATACATATGCCAGATAAGCAGTTACACCACATATTATTCCAAATGCACAGTCCACTGTGATCCTCCAATAATCATTACGAGGACATCTACGTTTTGATTCTGCTTACCTGTAGCTCCATG